CTTTTCCATATATAAAAGTAAGCATTTATTTAATATTTAAACATATAACATAATTCTTTAAAGTAAGATTAAGTAAATCTAATAAGATATAAAATGTGATTAACCATTAAGCACTTAATTAAGCAAAACAATTAAACATTTTAATATGATATTTGAATTATATTCGTTATTTATTCCCATATGCATGCTATTTGGGCTCTCTAATTAGGCCAAAACCCAATAAACCCAATAGAATGATCCAAATCGTATTAAAAATGGGATTATATGGTAATAAAATGATCTGCTCTGATCTGATCTGATTTCTATACTAAAACAGTTTGATTTGACTCACGATATGGGTAGAATCTGATCCGATGGGATCAAATTGACCAAACCAATTGGGCCAATTATGGTTCCAGGATACTGATGAATCGGTTCTGGTTCTTAATCTATTGTCCCCATTGTTTTGAGGATTGCTGCTTCTGTCTTGTTGTGAACCAACTCATCTATCTTAATATATATATATATATATATATAGATTGATGTATTCGTGGCAGTCTCTCCCCATTTAGGAAATGGTATCCGCACGTATAATATGTTTGAGTTATAAAGCGAGCGTGCGAAGTCCATGCAAATTGCATGGTATCTCTTGTGCACCGATTTCTCCCTTTTGCTGCTCCCCCTTTCTGTTGCCTCTCTCTCCTCCCTATATCCACGGTTTACCTACCGCCCTCTCTCTCTCCCTTCTCCTGCTCGCAATACGTCTTTTCCTTCCCTCTTCTTTGCAGTGACGCGAGCCGTTTCCCTCTTATGCTATTCTCCCTGAAAAGCCTCACCAACATGTGCTCCTGAGTGAAGGCAACCAAGTATTTGGGGAGGGGAGCAGTTCTCACATGAAAATCATTGTAAGGGCCTCATGTTATGGATTTCGGCAGACTTGAATTAAGTCCCAGAAAAACAAAATCAAAACAGGTTCGTTGAGGCTTGATCTCTTACCAATTGATTCAGCTACATATCTTACATTCTCACTCAAAGATTTAATGTCGAGGCTTGATCTCTTATTCCAGTTCATTCTTCCTTATGTCCTTTAAGATGGATTTCATACAACATATGAAATCCTAAAAGATGTGAGCTGGATTCATTTTGAACGTGTGAATTTGTAAATGGTTTAAATTTATTGATCTTATTCATCTAATATGTTATTTATTGTGGGTTTAACTTTCTATTATCAACTTGGATTTTTTTTTTCCTTAATAGATTCTATTTATTGTTATTTGTTGATAGTATTATCATTGTTACCTAAAAGATATATGTGCTATGAGTTCCAAAGTTGCTTAATTTTTGTTTACCAATTCCTTTAAATCATATCCTGTATAGCACCATGGGATATCCTCCTCCTCATGCAAGGAATTAAATCATATCCCGTTTAAATCTCTATAACATTGCTGAAATGGTTGATTGAATTGATATTAATTTTGAATTGCATGCATTTGAATAATATATAAAAGAAAAGGAGAGAATGATTGAATCCTAAACTTCAAATTTTAGTTAAAATGTCCTTCTAATAATTCTCAATAAATATAAACTTCTGCTATCCATGGATAGGCTTCAGTCAATAGAAGGTCTCCTAATAATACACGACCTAAAAGCATATTGGAGGTGCAAGGAGCCTTATACACGGTATGGTTTGAATGGAAGATGTAAAGATAGAGACTCAAAAGGCAAAGCCAAGCTGTTGGTAAATGCTTCAACACTTTAAAACCATTAAAAAAACAGAGGAAAAAAAATGCTTTTACGTCTGAAATTGCTTCTTCCTCATGGTGGAACAGAGTGGGCAAGGATGGTTCATCTCCCATTCACGAGTTTGTATCTCAATTAATAAAGTCCCACATATACTCTTTTTGTATAAATTCATTAAAATTATAAATATCACAATTTTATACTTTTGTTTTAGGCCAAGGCCAATTGAAATAATGGAGCCCTCCGCTAGTCTATATATATTTAATACTAAATGGTGTTATACGTGTTACACACTATAAACTATTCGAATACTTTCTACCTCCCTTGTGGCCCTGTCCCCTAATGTTTCTTCTTTTGCTATCTTACTCTCTCCGCTGCCTCCCTTCCCTCTTCTCATCTCCTCACCAGAAACCTGTTATCGACGGTAGGAGCACGGTAGTCGAATTCATGTGTTTTGGATTTTGGGAAGGATAGTTGGCATTGATGAGGGTGAATCCGGGTCTATCTTCGCATTCGCCTAACTCAGAAAAAAAGCCGTGAGTTCTCTGTTGAAGCCTTTGAACTTTACCAATGAGAGAATTCTCAAGGATCATTGGGGAGAGGCCAAAATTAGGCTAATGGCGAATGTGGGTTTTCGGAGGCTTGATTTACATGTTTAGGAGCGGATATTGAACTCCTGCAGAAAGGTTCTTAGTGACTCAGGTTTCCAGTTTCGGGATAACTGGGCTTCTGTTATCACAGGTAACGGTTTGGGCTTTCGACCTTCTTGCAATTTCATGCGACTCCTGATGGTTCTCAGTCACTCAGGCTTCCAGTTTCGGGATAACTAGGTTTCCGTCATCACAAGTAACGATTTGGGCTTTCAACCTTCTTGCATTTTCATGCAATCGAAAATTTACTCTTTTATCAAATTTTGTACCTGTAGTACTCTGGGCCTTCTTTCTTTTCATCTTGCAACCTAGGTAAGACCAGTTACAATTTACACAAGCAACGCTGTACTTGGTATTTTAATCTGTGTGTCAGAATTTTCTTGCTTTAAACATGGGAGGTTATTAGCTTGGGTGCCTGTAAACAGGCTTGTGTTCGATCGAGATAGAGGGAAGTGATGAGGGAGGTTGTGAATTAAGATAGATACTTTATATCAGTTTCTCTTGGTCTCAGCTACAAATGCTTTTACATGGTAGAACTTGCTCAGAGATAGAAGCCCCTTCTTCAATAAGTTGTTAATATAACCCATTTTTATTCATCTGGAGAGATATGTGGAAAAAACCAAACTCTTGTTGGCTGATTAGGTGAATTGTGAATAGATATCATATTATACTTTTGCACCGTATATCAATTAAATCTGACAATTAACAGGTTGGGGTCCTAATCCTCTGTGTTTTAGCATTATGGCAATATAAATTCTTGAAATCTGAGATGCTAGATTATCTTTTATATCAGAATTATATTATTTATTCTCTTTATGCATTGATGTGAATTTGATTAATACTAATAAGTGACCTGATGGGGTGCTGTAGTCATCCAATAAAGGAACCTTACTGAGCCGCTCCTTGTATTCTGTTTCTATCTTCCAAACCAATGACAGAAATGGGATTGATATGAAGATCATACTACAATTAGATCTCTTTTATTCTTCCCATCAACTTGCAGTTGCTTGCCCCATTAATTCCATTGTTGAAGAAAACACCTGTCACTATGGTGTTTAGTTACATATGGCCTATACCAAGTTTAACAATTAAATCAAAGAGGAGACAATATACACAAAGAAAACAAGTAATTTTGGGCTTCTCTGTACTTGATCATAATTGACCACTTGAAACTGAGGACTGGAGAAGTTGAAGATGCCAGAGTTCTCGAACCATCTAGAATGTAGAGGGCCTAGAATATCCTCTTTGGAATTTCTGAAGTGTATGAGTGTGAAGTAGGTTGTAGGAGCCCTTTTGTGAAGGCTATGGAGATTGAGGATGAATTTTCTGCCCCCATTGAAAAAAAAAAAGAGAAAAGTGTTAAATTCCCGCATTGTTTTGAGATAAGTTGTATTGTGTGCCATATTGATATCTTCTGTTTATGCCTGATAGGAATTTTTTGATGTACGTCTTAGAGGAGATGGAATGGTAAAAATTGGGGCTGTCCACTAGTGAGATGGGGTGGGATTCAAAACTTGAACTTTCTTTTCTTTGTATTGGTTCCATATGACAATGATTTAGGGGAGAATGGGACTGCATAGGGAGAATGAACAAGGGAAAGAGGGCAAAGAAGAATTACAGAAAGAGGGGGCACACATGGGGGAAAAGAATTGGATCCCAGGATACTTAAATGATTTTTTAGGTGCTTATAATTCCATCTATTTTTTCCTTTTTTTGAAGGGATATGCAATTCTCACTAGATCAAGTAAATGAAAGAGACAAGGAGATGAGGAGGTTTTTATTGATTTTTTGATCTGTTTTGAACAATTTATCTCATGTTTATAGACACCATTTCGATGTCATTTAAAGAACTCCAGTTTATTAGCTAATAGTTTACTGAGATTAAAAATTTGTTTAATCCCATGACATAACAGTTTTTTTTTTTTTAGAGTTCTTTCTTTTATAGAGAGATCACTTGTAGTAATCCTGAATACCATCTAATCAACACTTCCATATTATCTAGCCACCAAGTTGGCATGAGTAACTAACTTTTTAAGTTCTGGTGTACCTAGGTTGAAGTATAAAAAAAAAAGGCTGAAGTTGACTAGTCAAATTGATTTCTCTTGCATTTATATACTTAACTGGATTGTTGATCAGAAAAATATATAGATACTTAACTGCACTGCATTTTTTTTCACTTTAAAATTGAGATGACACAACCATATCGCCTTTTGACAAAGTCAATACTTCTCAATTGTCATCCTAATAAAGAATCTAAATGTGAAAATATTAGCCTTCTATCTCAAGACACTAACCAATATTAACTTTCACCATTTTATATTTTTATTCACGCTAATTAAAATAATCGAGTGATAGCGCCTGCGAAGCAGGCACCCCTCCGCTAGTAACCAATTAATTCGTTTCTGGGTCTAAAATATATAGTGTCTGCTTTAGTTTCGGAACCTTGATATTTCTAATTTCTTCTCAGTTGGGGACCAGTTTGTACCCTGTTCCGACCTAGACTAGACCCGATCTGTTGACACCCTTAGTCCAAAAATTTCTTAGACCGTAATTTTCTCATTTGGTATAAGATTTTCCAAACCAAACCGGGCCGGATCATGAACACTTCTGTGAGGCTGTGACCTGTCCATCAAACTATCATACGGATCAATATGGGTCGATTAATCCATTCGGGTCAGCAGGATTGGGGGTTGGGTTGAGAGTACCCACCGGGTCGTCCCTGTCAGTCGGTTGCCGGTTGGGGTTCGAAATCGAGTTCGAACCTTTCCATCTTCACCACCGACGCCGCGTCTGTTCTATTCTTCGGTTCTTCCCCTACCTCAGACGCCTGCACGCCGATATTGAACTCCCCCAAGTCGCCATATGCACTGTCAAATGTCCTAGAGAGGCCGTCACCATGAAGTTCGTCTAAGAATCATTCTCTGATACATGTAGAGACAGAACGAAAGCCTTTCTTGTCAATTAGGGTTGCGGCCTGTTAGACTTTAAAGGAGTCTCGAACACTACATGCAATTGATCCAGGTATATTTTCCTACTTTCTTTTTTTCCCCTTTTCTGCCTGTTAGAAAGCTTCAAAACAGGCAATTTTTCCATTGTTCATAGAACAGGATTAAGCTCTGGATAAGTACTTTCAACCTTCCCTTTGAAGTTTGAATTTTTCATGGGTTGCTCAGAATCAAAAAAGTTGAATTTTAGAAAATAATCACGGAGGCCTGCTAAGGATGCTTTCCATTGTTTCCGTTTGTGTATGCAACCATTGGCCCTGAATCATTAAAGCTATAGAAGGATATGATTCATTTCTGGAGCATATTTTTAGGGGAGCTGAAAAAGTACAGTTTCAGCAAAATATTTTGGTCCCTGTCATCCAGTAGGTGTAATCTCATAAAATAAAGCTTGAAGCATGACACCAGTCCCCCACAATTAAACAATCACCCTTGAACCTTGGTCATTTGCTTCAAAAATTAAGGAACGAGCCTTCTATTCACCACGCTCAAGTGTGATATCAGTTGTAAAATATATTATATATATTATTCATGTGACACACGGTCAAACTATTTGACCCGCAACCAGCAAGGGTTCCGGTTTTGTATCCGCTCCGAGTCTTACAATACTGCGGCAATCCATATTGGAAGCAATAACATATTAACATCTATCTAAGCTCCTGTTATTTCCAGGTATGAATCCCTATCTGTGACCCTTTTTTCCTTCTTCTGTGGTAAATAGAATCAAGGGATCACTGGGATTGCCTGGTCTTCACCAGAAATTAGAATTCCTGTTACACGAATTGTTTGGTATTCTTCCACCACCCTTGCCTCTTCTAGTTCATGAGACCATGACTGTTGCAAGTGTAAGGTTTCAAGGAAGACAGTTTAAAGTTACGGTGCATATGCACTGATACTGTTCAATGAAAACGTGAAACATACTTGAACCATTTACTGCAGAACATTCATGGGGATCATGAAGATATACATAGCCTTTTACATGTAAAAGCATGTATTAGCCTTGGTTCTAGAATCATTTTATCACTTTATACTGCAATAGCAATGGCTGGGGTTCATAATATATAATGCATGACAACAGACTGGACACATAAAAACTAAATGCTTTTTTTATGAAGGAATGATACAAATCCAGAAAAAGAGAACTTAATTGAATATCCGAGGAGATTTCAGTAAGACCCTAATTGTTTTTATAAAGAGAATTCTACTTCTAAATTTAAAAACAGAACCAACCTAGATGTCATTGATACTAATAATTCTTTTCCTAATCAATTTAAGCAAATTTTGTTAATCTCCTTTTCCCTTTACACCACTGCATGATACTCCTATTCTATCACCCTTCCATTGATTAAATGGCTTGAAAGTAGCCTAAGATCCCTTCTTGTAATATTCCTTTATTACTGGTAGAGTGGCTGGGGGAAAAATAATCAAATTGCTTCTCCCTTTCTTGGATATTTGATACTTTGCCCTTATCTCTTTGTCAGTTCAGGGTTTAATAGTTTCCAAGGAGAAGATCATGGACCAACCCCTATTAATAGAGGGCTTATGTAGCCTTATTAACCAAAAATTCCTTGGATTTTAGACTACAACATTTTTTCCCAGTGCCACCTGTAATGAAATAATAATATGGTTTTCCATATCACTTCATAAAACAAGTTTACCACTTAAATAGGTCCACTTTCAGTTGTTAAGGAGGAAAAAGGAAAAGAGAAACAAGGTCTCTTTCTCACTCTCTCTGATTGGTAAGAGGAAACAAGGTTTCACGATTTTAAGAAATGAGTTTATTGTTTTCTTAAAAAACTGGAAACGGCTCAAGGTTGATCAGGAAATTATGGTTATGATTAAGCTATCCTATTGTCTTATTGGATATTTATGAGTATCATGTGAATGGATGGTTCTCTGCTTTTAGACAACATAGTGACTAATAAAATCTCTGACCAAATAGGTGGCTATTGGAGTTCAGAGCAGGTACAATTATAGTTTAAGTTTAAATATCTATATGCAAATAAGTGGTTAGAGGAACTACAGGGATTTAAAGGTGAAGTTTTAACTTAAATTAAGGGAATTGAAAGTGAGACCGGCTATTGATTAGATGTGATAAATGATAAACCAAGGATTCCACAAACCAAGAGTGGACAAGAATTGGTCCAATTATATGGGTGGACTGAAAGAAAAAAAAAAATAGAATTTAGGGGATGAAGGGAAAAAAGATAAACAATGGTAAGATGGGTCAGGTCAGGTTGTATGGTGTATGGATGAACAGAGACAGGTAAACAAAAGGTTTTTGATGGGCTATTAAATGTCTTAATAAAATCCAGCTAAAAAGAATGGAGCCTAAAAGATAATACAAAGAAATAACTGTGACTAAAGAAAGCAAACCTAATAGCACTTATGATACCTGGATGTTGGTACAAGAGTGCCATATCATGTCAGATACTTAAATTTTTAATGTAAGTTTCTTATCCGATACTGTATGTGGCCATATACTTGCCATGTGCAGGTAAAGAATGGAACCAGTACATGATAAGTTCCAAATAAGCCATACCTAGAAAGGAAGCAATTCTTTAGAGCTTTGGAGCAGTTTTGGTTCTTTAGTTAATTTTTCATTAAAGGATGTGATGGATTGATGGTCAGGAAAACCACATCTAGACAATTGTCATTGGAAGAATCAAAGTTTCTTATATAGGAACTAAGAAACACCGTTTTATTAGGTTGATTTTGTGCTGTTACAATACTTGTGCATGAATGTATTCATAGAGGATGACAGAAAAAAGGGTGAAGGTCTGGATTCAGAGGAGGACAAAATCATTATTGATGAAACACATGAAGTAGAGGCTCAGTTGATTTGGACAATGGTGAATACAGAGGAGAGGTAGAGGTGAGAAAAACTTTTACTTTATTTTTTATTGGAGGGGGGGCGGTTGCAAGGCAAAAGTTTAAGGAGTTGGAAGAAAAATTCTGTGGGGCTTCAAAGGGCAAAGAGAAAATCAATTCAACTTCAATGAGTCTGAGGCTAGGATTAAAAGTGCTGTCAATCCAAGTAGTTTGAGGACATCCAAAGGTGCAAGGGATGGCTTTAAGAGGGTGGTAAGATAGCAGAAAGTCAGATATTTGAGAAGAATTTGGTCTTTGAACTAGAGAGGACAAATGCCAATGCTAAGGCTTCAAGGACCACTGAGATTAATCCTAATGCAGTAAGAAGATTCTGAAGTCAGAAAAAAAAATCAGACCGTACAAGTCTCAAAAGTCTTATTTGGGGTCAGGCTGAATAAGAAGGTAAAGAAGACAGAGAGGGAACAAGAGAAGGAAAGAGGAAGAAGAGCATTTGGATACAATTGTGTAGTAGTTTTCCCTTGTTGGACTCTCTGATCTTTGGGCAAAGGGGCTTGTTTTTAGTGGCTGAGGCTGAGTTTGGAAGGTTGGGTGGATAGGGAATTTGTTTTTGCAAGGTGTGGGTGAGTAACACACTGGGTGTATGTGGTGGTTTTTTGTTTCTTTCAGGTTTGGGAGTTCTGTTTTTGTTTCTTGGCTTTGGGGAGATTAATTTGAAGAATAGAGGAAGGATTGGGTTGAGGGTTTCTTTCTTAGTTTTTGGGCGTTTCCTTACCATCTGCATTGTAATCTTTTCTCTCTATTCTTAATAAAATTTCCTTTTTATTTACTTCCAAAAAAATTATGCATTTAGGTTGTAACTTTGCTGCTGTGCATGATTTTCATGCCATAAACTTTTAGGTTCTTAAAGTCAATCTTATCTTCTTATATACTATGTTTATGATCCTTATAGACATGTTCCAAGAGATCAATATTTAATTAATCTATTTATAGCTTTCCTGTGATATTTTATTCTTTTGTATTTATTATAAATGAGTCTTATTTTGATAATGAGATTCTATTATTCTAATGACTTCTCAGCCTTTATGTTCCTTTTAACTGCAACTCATGGAAGAAGACAAGAAGGATAATCAACAAGAAAGTTCATTTGGAGAAATAAGTGGTGGCAAAGATACAGGTAATAATTCCAACTCCTCATTTTATGTACAATATCTTGTTGTACATCTCTGTGACAAGGGCACTGTATTTCGAGGTCACAAGATTGTTTTCTCCTTTGTACTTATCTTCAATCTCTCTGTTACTATATATATATTTTTTCTGGTTTTTCTTTTAATTTTATCTATCTCTCATTAGACAAATTGAAAATCAATGTTACTATATTTGTTCTGTACCTCTATGTACTGTACTTATTGCCTTAATTAATGAAATCTTTGAGTTATTGATAAAAAAGTTGCAAATCAAGCACATCTCCCTACAATAACCTTTAATTGTGATCTGGAGAAAATGTTGCAAAAAAAAAAAATGCACACAATCCATTATACTAAATGTTGGCCTTCAGTCTCTGTTGCAGAAGATCTTGTTAAGGAGAGGAGTTCAGATCAAAGAGAGGCTCTGTCAGGGGAGCCTTCTTGTGTTATTTGTGGCCGCTATGGTGAATATATATGTGATGAGACTGATGATGACATTTGCAGCATGGAATGCAAACAGGTTCTGCTTCTTAGGCTTGCTAAATCCCAGAAGCCATTAGATCGTCCACCTGCTGTGAGGTTACCCACTACTGATGAATGCTTTTATGTTAGAGATGGTGTTAATGAGACAGAGTATCAATGTTTATCTGGCTATCAGATTGAATCACTAAGAAGGAAAATTGAGATCAAAGTGAAGGGAGAGTCTGTTCCACCACCCATCTTGTCATTCTCTTCTTGCAATCTCCCGGAGAAGATCCAACATAATTTAGAACTTGCAGGATATGAAATACCCACACCTGTTCAAATGCAAGCAATTCCAGCTGCTTTAATTGGAAAAAATTTGCTTGTTTCAGCAGATACAGGCTCTGGAAAAACAGCTTCCTTTTTGGTTCCTATCATCTCTCGCTGTGCAAATTTTCGTCTCAAGTACCCCTCAGACCGGAAAAGGCCCTTAGCAATGGTTATGGAACCAACTAGAGAGCTTTGTGTGCAAGTGGAAGAACAAGCAAAGCTTCTTGGAAAGGGTCTGCCCTTTAAAACTGCCCTAGTAGTTGGTGGTGATGCCATGGCTAAACAAATCTACCGCATCCAGCAAGGGGTGGAATTGATTGTTGGAACTCCTGGTAGGCTTATAGATCTTTTAACAAAGCATGACATTGAACTGGATGAGGTTTCAGTTCTGGTTTTGGATGAGGTGGACTGTATGCTTCAAAGGGGCTTCCGGGATCAGGTAATGCAGGTTTTTCAGGCACTTACACAACCCCAGGTACTAATGTACTCTGCAACAATCCCTCCAGAGGTAGAGAAGATGGCCAACTCGATTGCAAAAGATCTGGTCTTTGTCTCTGCTGGAAAGCCAAACAGACCAAATGAATCTGTGAAGCAGGTAGTCATCTGGGTGGAGTCAAAACAGAAAAAGCAAAAGCTCTTTGACATATTGATGAGTAAGCAGCATTTTATGCCACCTGTTGTTGTTTTTGTGGCTTCAAGGCTGGGGGCTGATCTCCTGTCTGAAGCAATCACGGTAACTACTGGGATTAGAGCTCTATCAATCCATGGTGAGAAGCCAATGAAGGAGAGAAGGGAGACCCTGAAGTTGTTCTTGACAGGCGAGGTGTCCGTGATTGTTGCAACGGGTGTTCTGGGACGAGGAGTTGATCTCTTGAGAGTCAAGCAGGTTATTGTGTTTGACATGCCAAATTCAATGAAGGAGTATGTACATCAGATAGGAAGGTCATCCAGATTGGGAGAGGAGGGGACAGCAATTGTGTTTGTTAATGAGGAAAACAAAAATTTGTTCAGGGAGTTGGTTGAGGTTCTGCGATCATCTGGAGCTGCAGTTCCTCGAGAACTTGCTAATTCACGGTATACCATGGCTTCTTATTCTGCTGGCAGAGCCCTGAAGAAAAGGAAGCATGGTTAAGTGTCATCCACTCTTTGTTCACTAACTTGTCATTCCCAGTAGTGTCAAGTACAGTTTGTGATGACAGTGATTTGTGGGCAATGAGAAGCTCAGACAAGAGTATACTGAAAAGCTATTGCACCATCTTAATGGTTGAGATGTGAAGTATACCTTTTCAATGGAAGTACAAATATATGGCATTGGGACCAAATGCTATTTGCAATGTCTTGGGGTGAGAAGATCAGCTTTGTCAGGGACCTCCATCAAGTTACACCAGAAAGCCAACAGCCCGTGTCAATAATTGAAGCTTCATTGATTGTCTAGCACGAGAAATATACATTATTTTGTGGTTACTGCCACCCTTTCTGGCACAGCCTTTGACTAAAGGTGTTTTTGTTTGCATTGCACCGATCTCTGAAGTCTGAAAAAAATTTAACTTCTCCAAGGTGGGTTATTCTTGATAATTAATATTCTGAATAAAACCACTGAAGATGGAGTATTCTTAAGTTACAGCCCTGTATTGAAGGTTTATTTTCAGTTTGAGTGGTGTACCTTTTCTCAGTTTGTCAACTTGACAAACAAAGTTCTTGTATTGTACCTCTTTTTCAGTTTAATGAAAATTTTTCTACTGATATTTCAAAAAAAAAAAAAAAACACTGAAGATGGAAAATGCCTCTTAGTGACTCAATGACCTGCTTATCTCTAAACACGGACAGCGATTCTTTAGATACTGTTTTTTCCAAAAATAACCTCACATGATTTGAATTTTTAAACCTTTTCTCCTATTTATTTTTGTTCCATCAAAATCCTCCTCTTCACAAATGGCAGGCAGCATCCATTGGATTGGATGTTTTTTTGTTCAGCCTCTTCCCAAGTACAGGCACCACAGCTACCACCATGACTTCAACATTTCTTCTTTTCAAACTCTTCTTTTTCTGAGCATTCTAGGTTTCTGTTGGACTTTTGTTGAAGCAAGTGTATGCTTCTTCTTAAGAGTTTTTCATCCTTCTTCAGTTTTCTTTTCTTAGAAATCTGCTATAGTTATTTGTAGCTTTATCTTCTTGAGACTGTTATGATCAGTTTTGGGTTGTTTTATCTGAAGGTACTTTGCCTTTTATATGCTTTCTTTCTATTTTCTGCTACATAATTGTAAAATCTTATGTCTCTCTTGCGGGTGTCCTAACATTGGTTGTTGCACCTCATACATATCCTTAACCAGGTCCACATACCTTTTTGAAACTCCTTTATTTTCTAAAACCCACCTTATTATCTAGCATATGCTTTCTCTAGATCAATGAATACCATATGAAGATCTCTCTTCTTCATATGAAGATCAAACCTGAGTAGATTCTCCATACAAAATCTGCAATTGAGCACCTGCTGAATACATGAGGGCATTTTTTTTATCAGAAGAAAATATGTTCATTTATTATATTCAATTAGAGGGTTAAATAATACAGCGTGATGACAAGAAAGTCATCCCCAATTTTCAAGCCTCCATTACATAGAAGCCCAAAACAGTTGCTGCATCATAACCCAGCTAACCCATTTGCACTTCTTCTAACCCATTTAAATTCTGCCTCTATGTCCCTAACAATCTGTTATATTTCCCATATCACATGTTTGAGAGTCCAGGGAGTACATTTTTTGTAGTTTGTCCATGAGATAACTATTTTTGAGTCCCCTTCCACCTCAACCCGTCTGAAACTCAGCTGCTTTGCTAACCGGAGTCCTTGTAGTAGTGCCAACAGTTAAGCCTTCAAGGAATTTCCTATACCAATTGGCTTTCCAAACCACCCAACGAATTGCTGGTTTAGTGGCTCTCTAGAGCAACTTCCCTCTTTTCTTTGATTGCCACAAGAAGTTAACAATCCCACGACATCTTGGGGGGGATCCCACCTGCACCCAAAAGGAGAACAGAAAGACTCCCAAATTCGATGCACAAAGGGATAGGAGATTAATAAATGAAATAGAACCTTACCATTGCACCTACACAAGAAACACCAGTAAGGAGAAAGGTAGGCATAAGGCCTTCTTCTCTGTAGCATGTCACAAGTATTTACCTTGCCAAGGAAAATTCCCAGCAAAAAGCTTGGATTGTAGGTGGGATAGGCTTACACCAAATTCCATTCATCAGGAAGTTCACCCCTTGAGGGTTTGGCAATGCAAGGATTTTAAAAAAGGAGGAACAAGTGAAGAGACTATCTGGTGAAGCTGTTCAAATTCTAGAGTCCTCAAGGGAAGAGTCTAGGAACACTTGCCCTAAAGAGTCAAGTGGATGGACCAAGAAAGGGTATTCAAAGTTCCTTAACCCTCATCTAAAGCCCAATTCTCAATTTAAGCTAGTTGGGGAGGGTGTTACCAGTCTAGACACAGTTTCACCCTTGAAAGTAGAAAGAGTAAAGAGTTCTGGATATTGGTCTTTGAGTGGAGTCTCCCTAACCACAAGTCTTCCCAGAACCGTATTTTATCACCCCTTCCCACATCGAACTTGATGGAATTAAGAAAGATTGGGTGACTTCGTGAATAGCTTTTCAAGGAGAAGTTGAAGAGGAATGAATAACAAGTTTTGGCATCCCAGCCATTGCTTTCCAGCAAATGAATCCTTTCTATAACCTTGTGCCATAGCATGTCTCTTTCAAAAGGGAATCGCCATAACCACTTACCTAGTAGAACAGTACTTGTAAAGGCAATGTTTCCCAGCCCAGGCCCCCTTTTCTCCTTAGATTTGCTAACTTGTTCCCATTTTACTAGGTGGTCCTTTTCTTCACCTAGTTCCTAGTAGGGGTGAGTAAAAAAAAAAAAAAAAAACCGAAAAACCGAACCGACCAAAACCGAATTGGTCGTTCAGTTTCGGTTTGGTATTTTTAAAAAACCGAAGGTACCGATTCAGTTTCGGTTAACCAATACAGAAAACTGGCGGTTAACCGAACCCATCGGTATACATATATTTCTATATATTTTATATATATTATAAATTAATAAATATGCATTATATATATAAATATATATTTATAATATATGATTTATTATTTATTATTTAAAATATAATATTTTATATATTTATAATTTTTTATTATATTTTTATAATATATATTGTAAAAATTAAAAAACCAAAAAACTGACAAACTAAGGTAACGGTTAACCGAACCAGTCAACCGATAGGTTTCGGTTACTGGTTTTCCAAAAACCAGTATTATCGATTCGGTTACAAAATATGCCTCATGGTTCGGTTAACCGAACCGTGAGCACCCCTAGTTCCCAGAGGAAGTCCCTCATGTATTTCTCAAGTTGCCCTACTATCCTAGTTGGGATATTGGAAGTGGATAGGAGGTGGGAAGGTCAGCCATTGTGGCTCTAATCAATGCGATTCTTCAGCCCAAAGAGATGTAGTTCTGTTTCCAAAGGTCTAGTTTCCTAGAAAACCTCTCCACTACTGGCTTCTAAAATCCGTCGGTCCTAGGGTTCCCTCCCAAAGGCAAGCCTAAGTAAGTCATAAGCCATTTTCTAACCTCACATCTCAATAGATCAGCAAACCTCAGAAGCTCCCTCTCTTCCAATCAAGGTTCTAAATATCGAAATGTATCAGGGCGTATCGGCCGATACGTATCATATCGGTAACCCTTTGATACACCCCTATAGTGGGTGCTTTGGGGTCTAACCTGGTTCAAGGGGTAGATGGACCTTAAACCGACCCCCCCCTGAACCAGTTTGAAAAGAAAAAAAAACTAAAAAAAAAAGTAAAGGCACAGCTTGATATAGTCCGATACACCCCAACTGGCATATCGACCTGTATCAATATTTAGAACCTTGCTTCCAAGTTGATTCCTACATTTCCACTTTCACTCCAGTTAATCCTTAATCCACTCAGGCCCACATGGTTATCAATCAAATGCTTCAAGTTTCTCATCAATTCTAGATTAACATTTTTTTTTTATCAATAACAGCACTTTTGTTAAAATAGATATGTAAGATACAACCAGAATGGAGGGGTAAAATGTCTTAACCCTCCCTTTCAAACCCGAAAAAACATATTACAGAATAGCCCAAAACAAATTAGATCTTCGCACCCCCTGTTTAGCCATGGAATTGGTACTCCTCTTCGCCCATTGAAACCTTGTAGTCATGTTTTGAGTTAGTTGCTTGATTTTCTTTCATTCATTCGAGAACTTCCACATGCTGGACTCTTCCCTCTGCAACCATCTAACAGTCAGTTGGGAATCTCCTTCCACCAGCAACTTGCTAATATTCAGCTGCTTAGCCCTTTTAACTCCTACAACTTCCAGGATTTCAGCTCCAAAGAATACCCCCAGCCTATAGGTCCTGAGAACGTAGCAATAATTCGCCCTTCTTCGTTCCTGAAAATACCACCTATGCTTGAAGGGCCTGGATTTCCTTCACTACTACCATCAAAATTCAATTTGATGAAACCCAAGTCTGGTGGAGTCCAAACAGGTCTGATATCACTAGACATAGGAGCTGACCGAGCCACTTCCCAGTTTCTAATGATGTCTCCTACTGAATAGGCTTCAAAAAGCTTTAAAGACTTGACCCAGTGGGCCACCCTGACATATACAAGTTCTATGAGGGCTTCCCTGTTTTTTTCTTTTTCATGAAATAATCTTTGATGTCTTTCTTCCCAGACCGTCCAGCAAACAGCAGCTCTAGCACATCTCCACAAGATTTTACCTCTCTTCTTTAGACCCCTCACTGGAGTGGAGCTGAACAAGCTTTGCACACTTGAAGGGGAGGGCCACCTGCAACCAAATAAAGAAAAGAACCAGCACCAAATATCTGAAACAAAAGGGCAAGAGACAAGCAAGTGATAGCAGCTTTCACCATTCTTCTTGCATAAGATTCACCAGTGTGGGGATAAACACCAATTAGGCCTTTTCTTTTGAAGTAGGTCACAAGTGTTACACATTTCTAGGATTGCTTCCCAGGAAAAAGCACCTACCCTAGGAGGGATGGGGCTACCCCAAACTTCCCGGACTAGAAAAGGAGGCCCAGGTACCGGACTAGACTGTGTCAATGCTTTGAAGAAGGAAGAACAGGAGAAGATACCCGAGGAAACAAGAGACCACACATGCACCCATGTGTGGAGATTAGACCAGGTGAAACTGTTATGTGAAAGATTCAATTCCTTTAGCTCAAAAGCATTAATGAACTCATTGAACTTCCTCATGCCGGTAGTGCTCCTTTGTCTCACCTTGTTGCTCTCTTCAATGAACCTTATCACATTGAAATCCCATCCCACACACCATGGCCCCTCCTATAGACCTCTAATATCTCCCAGTTCCTCCCAAAGCTCCTTCCTTTGTTTGTAATCATTGAGACCATAAACATTGGTAAGGACCTACTCAAACCTATCTGACAACTGCTTAAATTTGACAGAAATTGAGAACCTTCCCACTAATTTTTCCACTTCATCCTTCCACAAAGTAATTAACCTTTCAGATGAGCCCCTACCCACCTCAATCCGTTCACTCTCCACACACTTCTAGCCCACCTTTTGTCAAATATCATAAGTTTAGATTCCTGAATTAAAACATTGTCTGGATTTTCTTTCTTTAAAACCTCCTTTATTAAAGTTCTTTTCCTTACACCCCCCAATCCTCTCACATTCCAGCTTACAATCTTCATTCCTTCCACAGCTCTGCCCAGCCCCACTCCCTTTCCTTCTAGTAACCTCCTTTTCTTCCCCTCCCTTTCCTCACTCTAGCCTCTTTGCCCACATCCATTTCCAACTTCAATTTCTCAGCTTCACCTAGCCTTCTCTTCCTCCTATTCCCACCATCTTTTTCAGCCCATAAATACCCTTTCAGCTCGAGGTCTCTCACCTTACAACCTAACTTTTCTAGATATTCAGCTAATGACTCCACTCTCGTGATAAACTTCTTGTGATACCCTTTCAGCTCGTTTAGGTCTCTCACCTTACAACAAGAAGTTGGCTTAAGAGCTAATAGAATGTTATTCTGTGCAGATTTTATTTGTTAAGACGTAGATTTTTTTTCTTTTTTCTTTTTTGCAATGCAATTTTATTTGCACTGATGTAAAAATATGAGAGTGCATATGATTTGAGTGCAAATTATGATTTATTTCTGTTTCAGATTTTGCCTCATCTTATCTGTTTACATTCATGTCATTGAGTTGATTCAAATTTTTTCATTCATGAATTTGAAGCTAGGCAGTTTGAGTTCACCCATCAGTTTTCCAACTTCTGTGTCTATTTGTGCATCCTTGTGTTACCATTGTTATAGACCATTCTTTGTTGGCTTTTGAGGGTGAATGATGCAGATTGTGTTAATGAATACTTCCAAGATGGGGGAAACAAAACTCACCAGACAATCACATCTACAAGGACTACAAGGCAGTTTTGGACTCCAAATCCACTGAAGAAACCCTGGTAATTAATCTTTCTCACTATTGTCTGGTTTTAATTACCATTTCAATTGAACAATGCCTAAAACCAAGGTGCTACATAATCGAGCATGCCCAGGACAAAAAACCATGTGTATGAACATGAAAGAGATTCTTCTTCATATGAAGAGTTACAAAGACGATGTCTCAGAGAAGGTTGAAATGCTGATGAAAAGAAGCATTCTCATTTGAGCAATATCAAGGGAAGTGACCGAGTTTACAAAATAGAAGTTCATAAATCAGGGACTGCCAATGTAATTGCATCTCACGCGAGAGAAATTCAATGGTGTGAGTAGATTGAGAATCTTCCTGTGACTGTGATTGAACTGTAGTGTTCGCATGTAAACATGCAGCGTAGCTCGAACGTGTGACGTCTTTGCACTATCCAGCGATCTACAGGTAAAATGGGATATTTCACTGCATGCGTGACATGTGCCACTAACTGCAATCATCCTGCTAACATTTTTTGTCCTTTCATCTCTCTTCTTCTGTTCTTATCTAATGGATGAATGACGCTTGGATCAAGTGGAAAGAAAGAAAGAAATAAGTTATTGAAAAGACAAAGTAAAAAGCTTCTAAAACTAAAATAAGCCTGGATCTCAGTCTCTCCAAAAATCGAACCCTCTTGATCTGGAACTCTCAAGCCCTCTCTCTCTCTCTCTCAAGCCCACTTCCTCCGTCATTTCTAACCTTCCTCAAGCCCATTTCGTCACCCTTGTTTGCCATTAGAGATCTAGCCTTATATTTACAGGCTTTGGTTTTTGGATTAGAGGCTTTTTTCTCCCTCTTGACGCTTTGATTTTTGTTGTTGCAGGCCTTGAACCGTTGGAAGTTCCGTTCAACATCAACATTGGAAGTTTATTTCAGTGTCTTGCTGAGTTGGTCGGAGTGGTTTTAGTCGGGTCAATTGGATTTGTCCTTTCTTTTTTATTTTTGTAGCAACATCAATGATGGTTGGTGTTGTTGACTTGCAGGTTTGAGGTTTGTGCGTTTTTATTCAATGAGGGGTTTGGTTAGATGTGCCTTGGGAGGATTTTAATTATGATGGTCTTGTTGGCTGTACGAGTGGTGAGACCATGCATGGGAGGATTGAGCTTTTCCCTTTCTATCATGTTCATCTTGTTTTTTCTTTGTTCTCTTGGGTTGCTTATTAGTAGTAGTCAAACCCTGCCCACCATGCACCCATCCACTCCTTTTCTCTCCTCACTAGACGCTACCAAAGCTACCTTCCTCTCCTTTTCATTTCTATATTTTCACCACATCAAATCTGTTCTGGTCTTGCAGCAATATGTTCAAGTTCTTCATCTTAACCAGCAACCATGCAATCAAGAATTAGAGAGTACATAGGTGTACGTTTGGCGTTGGAACAATGCCGGAGGCCTACTGGATAA